ATTTCTTGCATATTTTATTTATTTGGGATATTCTTAGTATGCTCTGTGGTTGCAGTTTAATCTGATCTTCCACATCAGAAAAGAATTATTCCGGTATTATTGCAAGAGATTTTTCTTTTGTCATTCTTGAGTTACTGGGATTGAGATTATTGTTTACCATTTTACCTTAATATTTTAATTTACATCTTCCGCATTGCGCATCTGAGCCCTACACATCTTGCAGATAACCCATAAGGTAAATGGGCAGTTTACAACTCACCGAGAAATTCCATAAACAAATTCGCCGTTCCTTATAGAATTTCTAGCTAAAGAGGCATCCGCTGCCATAGTTTAAGGCACCGAAATGAATCACAAAATTAGAAAATACTTGGTCATCATCACACAAACATCACACTATTATCTAGAAGAGTTAATTCAATTCTTTATTCAAAATAGTAGACTACTAGCACAAGGCAGAAAAAAGGTTTCAATGTAGAGAGATCATCTTGGCCCTGCAAACGGAGATTTCAAGTTGAAGCCTCTAATTCGAACCAGGAACAAACATCGATTACAGATTATGATAAAATTGAAAGCAAAAAATCTGAAAAAACAATGCTAATAACTTCGTTTCCATAGATGACTGAACCCTGAAAAGGGCCTGTTTGAAACACGAAAATGGCAATAAACAGATGGAAATCAGACAAATTGACCGACCTGCGAACCGCATTCGACAACAACGTAGGGATAGCTAGTCATCGTGTCGCGAACGGCAAGATTGTTGCCTCTTAGGACGCGAATTTTCAGAAGACCCAAAGCATCCATTGAAGAGGAATTTCAATTTTTATTCCGATCTTGTTATTTTTCTTTTTTTATTTTTTTTTTTTTCTGGTTTCGCCTTCCCCACCCTAGAAAATCGACAATGGGAAATGCCATCTATATATATAATTACTAGCTAATTTCATTTAATAAAACATTTAATAAAAATATTTTCACTTTTCCTCCAAAAGGAGTTACATATTTTTAATTAATTACTCACTATCCCACATTTAAGAAGGTTTCTTTTAGTTAAGCCTAATTAGTTAATGGCTAAATTAAAAATATTTCTTTTAGTTTATCCCACATTTATGTTTCTTATTTTTATTTATATGTATAAACATGGCAATTATTATTGTTGTGCATAAACTATATATTACTATTTTCTATTCCATTATGAATTGAATAAGCAATTAAAGTTAAAAAAATATTAATAAATGTAATAAATACAAACATTATAATACGAATCATGTTACATTACAATATAAAAAATGAAATTCTTTTTTTTTTCGTAATCTAATTTTCAGCCATACTCCATCAAACATATAGCTGCAAAATAATAAGAAAGATTAGTTTCATAATTAAAATAAAAATTTAGCTCCCTCAAATGGTAAAACCTTATAAATTAGCAGTATAGATACATTTAAATGACATATAATTTATAAAGTTAGACTATACGCATAATAAGATGAATTAAAAAATTAATGAAGTAAATAAATAGATTATCAGTCTATATAATTATTATAGCAAAGTCTATATTGTCAATATTATCATTTAAAAAGTTCACTGAAAAAACATATGTATAAAAAAAATCATATGATCATAATTAATAGTGCAAAATTAACTATCTTTGACTTTCCATTTGGTAGTAATAATAAAATATTTTATATTACTACTATTCAATAAAATGCATGATTTCTGCAGATTTGATTATCGCAATCAACATTCTATTTTATAAATTAAAAAGTGTGCTGAATAAATTGTCTCATATTTTTTATTAAAAAAAAATTGTTGGTCATGAAAAAAAATATTATTTCACAATTATAAATATAAATATGATTAATTTTCATTAAACAATTCCTCTTTAAGAAAAAAGTGGCGGGACAAATTTCTGCATGATTATAGCATCAAAACATATCTAAAACATCAATATTTTAATGCATTAAAAACCATACTTTCAGCAACAGAAAAGTCATATTAAACGGAAATTGACAAAGTCAAAGAATAAGGATTGACAATGCATTGTATGTAACGGAATTGTCTGTAATGGCAGATTGTTTGTATAATATAGAAATATCAAGCATAATTAATAATCAACAAAAAAAGTCAAATCCATATGAAAAAAAATCAAAATTAAAAAAAAAACAACAAATTATATGGAACATTATTGGACACTATACAATATAGAAAAAAAATAATAATTTGATTTCCCTATCACATTTAACTTTTACCAAGACATCTGCCTTTATATTAAAATCGATTTTTTGCGTAAAAGTTTTAAAATAAAAATTCCTACAGATTCTTTTAAACATTAAACAAGAAATTCCTAATATGCGATAAATATATCTAAATAGATTTGTTATAAACTTACCTAATATTTCTAAATTTTGTACAAAACACTAAAAACTTTGAAAAACTTCAACAAAAGACTTTGAACAACTTCGAAAAGCGATTTTGAACAAGTGTTAGCAAAACTTCACTTACTGATATGATGAGAAAGACGAGAAAGAATTGAACTATTTAGTGTTCAAAATCTGACAAAATACATATAGTTACATATGTATGTTATAAACAGAAATGAACAGATATGTTATAAACTTACCTATATATTTGTTAGTAGAGCTGAACGGATCAGTTAGAAACTTACTATTTTTCAAACCCTGAACAAAATACATAAAAGTTTGAAACGACCAACGTCATGTTCTCTTTGAAATACGATTTCGAAAAACATCTAAATAATTTCGAATTATATATAAAATATGATATGTCTTTGAAGCTTATTCAAAAAGAATTTCAAAAAACGACACAGCTCATTGAAAATAATGAAAAGTAAACAATATGTTTAACAAAAAATATTTCAGCTCTTCATAGATTTGTAATTATCGCCCGATTTTGACCGACCTGTTAAGATTTAGCAACACATATTAATAAATCGAGACGAATATTTATTTTTCGATCACTATTGTTGGCCACAAAAACAACATTTTTCGATTTTTTTTTAAAAAATTTAAGCCGTTATTGGGAGAAAATCTCTGGTAAAACATTTGTTTTGTATTGAATCTCGCCGAGTTTGTCGTAAGATCGGGTTAAGAATTAGGGTTTCAGACAAAGAGAATAACGAAAGAAGCGCCGACATCAAACAAAACAATTGGCTTACATCACTCAAGGAGTTTATCTCTATTCATAGTCATGTTATCATTGACCTGTTTTATATTTGATTTTAGCTACCCTAAAAAATTAAGTGGACTTCTAATTTGGGTTTTTTTATCATTCAATCAATATATTTCTTTATGGCCTAAAAATTGTCATTTTGTTCAAATGTCTTAAATATTTGGCACATATCATTATATATCAACCAAATACAATTATTTATTTTGTAATATTTTGCTGGTATTTTTTTAGTATTTTTTTTTTTAAATTTCTATTTGATCTATAGTACAAAATACAATAATTATTTAAAAAAATATTACCATTATATGTCTTAATCTGAAGACAGTGATTTGCAGTGATGGAGATGTTGTTGATAGAAAAACCACAAACGTTGTATATACAAAATTGTTTAAAAATATTTAGTTATTATTTTTTAGAACATTTTTCCAATGATTATATTATGATTTTACTATTGATTATATCTTTTTATTATTTTTTGTTCTATTATATTGCTTTCCGTGCAAATGCACGGGTTAAAAACTAGTTGCTATTGATTTTGTGTGTGCAGTGTGCGGTAGTCTTCAAAAGGACTAGTAAAGGTAGCACGAGGTGTACAAAATTAAGGTCATTTATCAAGTCTTATAATTATATAAATGAATAAAGAAAAATGTACGGGATATATATAGTACGTGTGACCTGTAGTAGGCCCAAATATGAATACGGGTGATGCACGGAGTGCACAATTTTAAGGTAACTTATTAGTACAGAGTCCGTGCGATGAGGTACACAATTTTCTAGTATGTGTAATACAAATACATACCGTATGCACGGGACAGAAGCACTAAATGAGTTATTTCCACAGAGCTTGCCCGTTAAGTAGCTCCTGAACACGGGTGCACAATTTGTAGTACGTACTATAAAATCAAAACAGATTTCCATACAATTAGATAATAAATTAGATTATAAATAAAGCATTTTTTATTTAGTAAAGATTGTACGTACTTTTTTTTACTTATCGGATGTTATGAGATTTTTTTTGTTAAACCGATTTGGTAGGATATAATACAAATACAATTAGATTATTGAACAAAATCAGAACAGATTTCTATACAATTAAATAATAAGAAGGAATTAGATAAGGAAAAGAAGAAATTAGATAAAGAATTTTGAATCTACCTTTTTTTAGTATAGATAGACTTTACGTACAAATTTTGACTTCACCAATTTTATGAGATTTGTTTTGACAAATCAAAGATGAACACTGAAAAATGTTTCTATTAACATTTACAATGTGTATTTAATGTTTTTATTTTGGCAAATTATTCTTTTTAAGTGTGATATATAAATATTAAAAATACTTAAAATATTTTATAACATCTATAAAAGCATCTAAAATATTCTATATTATTCACAAATAATGTTTGAAGCTACCTAAATTTTTCTAAACTACCCGCAAGGAAAATATGTCTAAAAATTCTTCATTTAACCTCCATATATGTATATATATATATAGAGCAAATGTGTAAAAAAATTTATTCAAATAATATTTAAAAGTATCTAAAATATTAGTAATTAGACAGGTGAAAAATTTAGATTTTTAAAAATCTATATAGATAATGGATTTATAGTAGTAATTAGACTTTTATTTATTTACCTTTAAAGTTGTTACGATAGATGAGGGATGTGATTTTTTTACTCGTGGAGATGAAATTTTATAAGTTGGGTTATGAAATTTTCTTAAA